CTCTGTCGTTCTTCCTCGTGGATTGCAGTTGTTTTTTGTTATTCTGTATTGAAAATGTGTTAGGCAGCTAAAGGGTGGAGAAAAGGGAAGAACGAGAAGAAAAATCGCACTCACCACTGCATTTTGGGTCTCTGGTGCGGCAACACTGGTGCCTGGACTTCTCCTTCGGCCGTCCTTATTCTTCTTCTCCGGCGACCCGAAATGGACCCACGATCTGGGCCGTCCATTCGGGCCCACGTGGATCCTCATCAGTCGTCCAATCATGCTTATCAGGAAAATAAATTTGGATCGCTCGATCGAAGATGCGCAGGTCGTCCAATCACGCTTATCCGAAAAATCAATATGGACTGTTTGTCTTGTTACATGCATAATCTCAATGTTCAAAATTAATTAATTTAACTGGTAAAGTCACAAAATATATTCATTAATGGTTGAATTATTTATTTGTATTGAGATTAATATTTATATTTAAGAGATCAAAGATACGTTTAAATTAAAATATGTTCATGGGTAAAGCTAAATTGGATAAGTTTTATTGATAATAAACTAAGATACTGGTTTAATTCGATTTCACTTAACCGTTAATAGTTAAATTTTTGTTTTAAATTAATATACAGCTTTAGATAAAATTATAACTTTTGTTTAAATCTGACATAAAAATTATTTAAAATTAGTAAATATGATGTCACTAATATTTTGTTGGCATAAAATTATAAAATATAATATTCTTATTTATACTGGGACAAAATCAAGTCAAATTTTACGGCTGGTTTTGTAAATTGTGAATGAACTTATGTAAAAATTAAAAATATATAAGGTCTCAAAAATTATAAATCAAACTCTTGAACATAAGTAAATTAGCAATTGGTAAGTAAATTTATTTAAAATAAATAAAAATTTTTTATATAAAAAGTAATAATTGTTTAAAGAATAATTAAATTCGATTATAATCCCATCCAAAAACATAAAATCGTTCACTTAAATTTTCCCTAAATAAATTTAAATTATCATTTTAAACTATAAGTCATTATTTTATGAACACTTTCTTATGATCGTTTTTTTTTTAATGAACACTTGCGAAATCCGATTTGTTAATTATTTCGGTTTACATGCGCTAATACGTCATAGATGTCGTAATTAGTCTCCACAGTGTCTGGGCCTCGCGCCTTTTGATTACTTTAATAAAAAAAATGTTCTTAAGAAATTAACGAAACGTACAGTAGGACCAAGCTCCACAAGTTGACACGTTGCTATGTTGGGCGCCTTTCTTTTTGACCTTTTTATAACGTTTTTTAAAATAAAAAAATACAAAATAGAACTGTCTTCTCATATAATCTAAAAAAAAAAAAATATATATATATATATATATATACACACCTTCGAAACTCTCAATAGCCACGGCAGGTCTACGTGGCAGGTTACTATTTGCTCAATGAGACAAATAACACTGCCTGTATTTTGTTGCGTGGTTATACTTAGTCTACGTGTTCAGTTAGTGTTTCGACACGTGTGAAGCTAGTTGGCGACAACCTTCTTCCCTCCGTTTTTCCGCGCCAGTTGGTTTGCCAAACGGCTAAAAACGTCTCAGCTTCTAGTTTTTGTTTTTACCGGTACAAAGTAGCAACGGGGCTGCTTGAGCGGCTCATCACTTTTCTTTAGTACATAATTTTAGGTTGTTTTTGAAGTAAATTCAAAAAATAATATTAAATCCAAATATAATTTAATTGATGAAATGTGTAGTTGTAAAAGTTTAGTGACTCATACAAATTTTCTCACATAAAAATATAGAAATATATAAAATTTACTTTTTTAAAACATAGTTAATTTAATCAATAAATAATATAAACATTATATCTGATAAAAATTAAATATATATAAATTTTATATGGAAATAGAATTATATATTCATAATATTTTGATAAAATTTTAGACATGTTAGGTCAATATAAAATTTCATGTCAACTTTTTTTTTTTCATAATTTTGGGTAAGAATTCAAGAATTTATAAATAAATTCTACATAAATTTTATATTTTTTCAAGAAAAATATATTATAAATTTATCAATACTGTAGATTTTATTTTAAATTCATATTTAAATCAACTATAAAT